AGATCTGGTCAATACATCCGCCGCCCCAGTTATAGCCCAATACGTCCCAACATCATCAGCTACCACAGCAGCAACAATAATGCGCCATCCCACACTAACCCCCATCGGTGCATCATCTGTCAATAACGCTGGTGGACAAATGATTTATACAACATCATCTGGCGATGTTATTACAGCCGGTTCACAAAAGATCTACCTACAAAAAGCTCCCGTATCCGTTACTTCAGGCACTCAGGGTGTTAATATCATTAATACAAGTAGTGGTCAACAATTAACAGTACAAAATATTGCCGGTGTTCAACACATAAGTTCGGCAACGGGTGGCAATGGTTCGACATCGACGGGTCCCTTAATCGTTACGACATCAGCTCGCAATGCCGTTCAGCAGCTGTCGCAACAACAACAGCAACAACTGGTCGGTCAGGCGACACAACAAATTGTTTGGCGTCAAATAGGTTCGACAAATGTAACGACCAATCCTGCCGGTATGTTGACGGGCACCGCAAATACTGATGGTACGGTTGCGGGAACTGGCAATAAAATAGTCTGGACAAGTCGTCCGGCTCAGAAGAGGCAGCTAAATGGTCCCGAGAGCACAGGTGAGTTGAATTTAAATGAGAAAACACATTAAAAGTTCTTGTTCAGTGCTAGTTCAGTTCTAGTTCAGTTCTAGTTCAGTTCTAGTTCAGTTCTAGTTCAGTTCTAGTTCAGTTCTAGTTCAGTTCTAGTTCAGTTCTAGTTCAGTTCTAGTTCAGTTCTAGTTCAGTTCTAGTACAGTTCTAGTTCAGTTCTAGTTCAGTTTAGTTCAGTTCTAGTTCAGTTCTAGTTCAGTTCTAGTTCAGTTCTAGTTCAGTTCTAGTTCAGTTCTAGTTCAGTTCTAGTTCAGTTCTAGTTCAGTTCTAGTTCAGTTCTAGTTCAGTTCTAGTTCAGTTCTAGTTCAGTTCTACTTCAGTTCTAGTTCAGTTCTAGTTCAGTTCTAGTTCAGTTCTAGTTCAGTTCTAGTTCAGTTCTAGTTCAGTTCTAGTTCAGTTCTAGTTTAGTTCTATTTCAGTTCTAGTTCAGTTCTAGTTCAGTTCTAGTTCAGTTTAGTTCAGTTCTAGTTCAGTTCTAGTTCAGTTCTAGTTCAGTTCTAGTTCAGTTCTAGTTCAGTTCTAGTTCAGTTCTAGTTCAGTTCTAGTTCAGTTCTAGTTCAGTTCTACTGCAGTTCTAGTTCAGTTCGAGTATACTTGGTGAAGTTACTGTTTTTTATTTCTATACTATTTTTTGTGAGAAATGAGTATATTTTTTCAAATTTTTTTTAAGATTAGTACATCATAAGTAGCTACTCCTTACAATTGAATATAAATAAGAATCTTTTATTGCAAAATATAACATTTATGCTAATATGTTTTTTTCTTTCTTTTCATTTCTTCCTAAATTCTGCTTATTCAACAAAAAAGACATCAACAAGTTGCTATTAAATCGTAAATTTTCACAACGAAAAATTGTACAACAACAACCGCAATTGTTGCAACAGCAACAACAAACACAAGATGATGATTTGTCCGGTGTTATGTAACAATAAGTGGCCAGGACACAACAACAACAACGGCTGTAACTTATAACACACAACATCAACAGCACCACCAACAGCAGCAACAACAACAGCAAATACAAAAATTACCTGGTGGAAAGTTATTAACATGCCCCTCCTTCCTCTACTAGTCTCAGAAGTAAATCTACAGCCACATCAACAACAGCAGCAACAACAACAGCAGCTGCAGCAAAAGCATAATACAGCTGCTGCCATAGCAGCTAATCATAATTACAGTTTACAACCAACGGGCGGCCTAATAACATCGCAAGCCTCACAACAGGGCAATAAAAATTATTTAACCACAAGTTCTAGTGGAGGAGCTGCGACAAATTTACAATTACAAATGCTTCAGAATTGCAGACGGCAGCACAAAAGCTCCACCAAACAAATAACTCAATTTGAAATTAAATTTTGTTGCCCACAAATCCTCAACAACAGCAGCAACTGCAACAGCAGGCACAACAACAACAGACAGTGGTATTAAATAAAGCCAACATGCAGCAACAACAACAACTATTGCCACAACAATTGTTACAGCAAACGGGTAAATTGAAGAGAGAGCGAATATTAAATATTATTGGGGCCGCACAAGTGGATAACAATACAAACAGTGCAACCGGGTTGGGCACAGTGACTGCCACTTCGGTGGGATCCAATACGGGTGATAACAACAAAAGGGTATTGTATACCAGCTTGTTGAATGTAAAACCCTTGCAGAAGAATAACGCTGGCCAAATGCAGGTACAAATTGGTCCTCAAGGTATGACACATGCTGTTTTACGTAGTCGCATTGCCAACAATCAAGCCATATTCGCCAATATGCGAACAGTGCCTGTAGCTACCGTCTCAGCGGCAAGTAATAACAGCCACAATAATACAACATCCGCGGGAGCTGGAACCACCACATTGCAAGTTGTCTCACAGTCCACGCAACTCAATGCAAATCAAATCACCTCCACCACTAGCAACCCCCTGGGAGCCACGCTAAATGCTTTAAGTAATAATAATAATAACAGCGATGGTTCTATGCATATGCAGCAGCAGCAGCACTCATCTTCATCCCTGGGAGGGGACATCAACTCATCAACCACCTCTCTAACAAACATTAGTCATTCTGTGAGCGATCTTAAATCCGCCAACAATGTTTTAAATATGGATAATGCTTCTACAGTCGTTAGCAGTTTAAATAATGCAAATAGTACAGCAACGGTAAATAGTAGCTCTTCAGCAAATGGTTCTTCCGCCAACAACACAACGACTTTAATGGCCAATACAAATAATATACAAAACACAAACAACAACAACAACAATAGCAACACCACGACAATCAATAGGTGAGACGAGGCAAGATAACTACCATTTAGGGTCTTCAAAACAATGGATATTCAACAAATAATCAATGTAAATATCAAAGATGTGGCGAAAACTTTGTTAAAACTTAATAAAAGTCGCCCCAACAACGATGATGATGATGATGATGAAGATGATGAAGAAGATAAAGTAGATGAAAAAGGAGATGTGAAAAAGAACAACAAACACAATAACAAGAAAAGTTTCACAAATTTAGAGCAATTATTTGCTGCTGTTTGAACTATTTGAAGAGAGACAATAAAGATAATATACTTTTTGTGTACGTACTACAACAATAATAACAACAACAACAACAACAACAACAACATCTACAAAATACCATTCCACAATGAATACAGTTTTAAATTTGAAAATAAGAAAAACAACAGCTAGTTTAGAGAAAAAATATGAAAAGAAAACAAATGCTGTAAACAATTTACAAAATGGCTGGTTTTTCTTAGATTTTTTTTAAATTAAAATATTTAAAACAGATTTCTGGGTAAATTACAAAAAACACACACACACATCCTTAAAACAAAACGCTTTTTTATTTATAATTAAAGTAATTTAAAAAAAATAGTTGTGAGCTTAACGGTTTACTTTTCAAATAACAACAAAAAAAAAACTTAAAATTATTGAAAATAACTGTTAAGGAGAGTTTGAAAAATGTAGTGTTTTTAAGCGATTTTTATGAGATTTTTCTTTCAAATTTATTAAAAGAAGTTGTTAGTTTCTAAATGGTTTGGGAAGCACTTTTAACTCTACTGCTTAAGTTTTCAGTCTGGACTAAGCAGCTGTCTTTTAAATTACAGAATTTAGGTTTAAGTTATTTGCTTAAACTTAGTTTAAAGACGGCTTTTAGTGCTTTTAAACAGTTGCCAAATTAAGTCTGATATCTGATCGTAAAAGCTTTCGTTTAGATCATTTTCGAAATTAAGCTTAAATGTAACATTTGTCGTTCGATTATCGTATGCTTCTGTTTGAAATGGAACATTTACTAGAACCTTGTATTGTATATAAAGAAAATTTTGTATTTTCACGCTTTCAATAACATTTTTTTTTAGCAAATTTCAGAAAACTTTATGGAAAAAACAACATAAATATGAAGTTATTAAAAAAAGATTAAACAGTTGGTTTTAAAGTTTAAAAATTGGTAAAAATTTATAAAAAAAACAACTTTATTATGAAGTAAATAAAATGGTTTGTTTAACTGTTTGAAAATTTTGTACAAAATTGAAATTTTTTTATGATTTTGAAAAAATCGTTTTTTAAAAACACTCTCCTAACTTTCCTTAAACACATTTTTAAATATTTTTTTTTTAATTTCCACAAAAATTTCATACATTTACACTATTACAAACCACACACTCACTCACTCACTCACACGCAATAAACAAAACAAACAAAAAGATTCAAAACAAACTGAAAAAAAAAACTGAATAGTTCTTATGAGACCAGATTTTTGTTAGCATTGTATGATAAAACTAAAAAAAACTAAAAACAACAACAACAAACAAAACTTTAGTATATAAAAAAACAAATTAGATTTTCTTTGTAATATTTAATTTTTATCATTTAATGTTAAAAAATGGAAAATTAAACAAAAAAAAAAAAAACACACTATAATACTATTAAATAAATAAAAAAAAACAACTCCCTATATAAATATATAATAAATTAAAACACACAAAAAACAACAACTTACATTTATGCTTAAACAAAATGTATAAAATTATAATAATTAGTTATAAATAATATTGATAATAATAATAATAATATATGAAGTAAAAAAAAATTAACTTAAAAACAAAACAAAACTCTCCTCCTACTACTACTCTTCATCTCTTTTACAAAAGCAAAAGTAAGAAAGAAAAAAAAAACACAATTTTTTCCTTGTCTTTAAAATGTTAAAAAAGGAAAAACCTAAAACAACATAAACAATTTTTTTTTTATATTGTTATCATCTTAAAACAAAAAAAAAAGGATCTTATTTTCAAGATCTCTAAATTTTTTTTATTTAAATTCTTTTTTTTTTTTATTATTATTATAATTTTTTTAATTTAATTTTCTTTTTCTTTAAAAAAAAAGTAAATACTTTAATAATGTTTATAATCCCAGCTGTTTTTCTTTACATTTTTTTGTTCTTATTTTTTGTTTTCTTAACGCTTTACCTCTTAGTATTGCCGTTAATTTTATACTTTTAATTTGAACAAAAAAACAAAAAAAATATCTCAAACATAAACTTTATATTAAAAATTTTTTTTTATAAAAATATATATATAATAATAATAATAAATCTTATGATTATTAATGTACATAGTTAGTTTTAATATTAAATAATAATAAATAAAACAAAACCAACAATTAAGTTTAATTTTACATTTAATTAAAAAAAAAAACAAAACAAAACGATAAAAGTATGTATTAAATAATTAATAAAAAAAAAATACAGCTACAAAACATTAAAAAAAAAACTTTTTAAAAAAACACTGAAAATACACAGTTTTTTTGTGATTCTTTTTTATTTTAATTTTAGCACCAAAATTATTATTATTTTTATAAATTTGTTTTGGTTTAACTTATAACAAGTAAAATTTTGCTTATTCTAGCAGTGTTCGTTAAGAATTTTGAAAAAAAAACCTAAATTATATTTAACTGGCTGTTAAGAATGTATTGAACAAAATTCATTAAAAAGCTAGTTTTCTTTTTTTTTTTTATATATAAAAAAAATAAAAATTTTAATCGTTTCCGGAATACTATATGCAAAAATACGTGTTTCTTTATTTTAAAAATTTTCAATTCCCAGGGAAAAATGTAACAGTTTCTAGTTTCTATTCGTTCTAATTTAACGAAATTTACATCTTAGGAACAGGTTCCATGAAAGTGTTTTGGAATCGATACTAGTTTTATGAAATAGTATTATCGAAAAAGTTATTCTGTAACTTTTAAACGGCAAAGAGGAAATGTTATCATGGGTTCACCAGGGGCGCGGTCGAAGGTCCCTGAAAAACAATCCTATTTCCATGTTTTTATTCATGTAAAGAATCTCCTTCTCGAGCCCTATAAAAAACACATGATCCTGTTATTTATCTGTCATTCAAAGTTGAAATTTGATTTTCAGAATTTCTTCCCATCCTACTTCAGTTTTTTGATAACAGTGAGTATTATACCACTATAGTGGGGAGGGTATTTGTGCTGATGTTTGCAACATCCAAAAATATTAGTCCTACCAATCGTCTCGGAAACACTTTTTGAGTCGATTGAACTATGACCTTCTGTCCGTACGTTTGTGTGTCCATACAAACCTTGTATGCACGCTACAGGTCGCAGTTTTTAAGATAATTTGATAAAAGGACGAAGCCTATCACCTAGTTCCCATACAACTGCACCCTCCCAAATGGTACTCTTGAGCTCGTAATTATGCTAAATGTTCTAGTATCTGTACAAAAATCGGCACATCCAGGAAAAATTGTATTAGTTCCACAGATTATAGACGGTATTCGTTCTATTTTGGCGTTGAGACCAATGATTTTTGTTCGAAATTGTCACATTCAGAACTGGTTCTGTGGAAGCGTTATGAAGTCGACACTCGTTCTATGGAACAAAGTTGCAATTCAGTTTTGTATAAGCCT